AAAATACTCCCAGCCTATGGGTTATCTTTTCACTCTCTTGATAGTCCTTTGATGCACGGAAGCTTTTAATTTTGCTGAGGTCAAATTATCTATATTTTCTTTTGTTGTTTGTGCTTTTGGTGCCATATTTAAGAAACCATTGCCAAATCCAAGGTCATGAAAATTAGCTCCAAAATTTCCTTCTAAGAGTTGTATGGCTTTAGCTCTTATTGACCTTAATTTTAAAGTTAATTTTTGTATATGGTATGAAGTGGATATACAACTTCCGTTACTGATTTCTAGTTTGATTCCATTATGGCAAAGAGAATACTTTGTAGGGGCTCCTGGATGGCTCAGTCAGTTAAGCATCCAGCCTTTTGATTTTGGCTCAGGTCATGATCTCAGGATCATGGGGTCGAGCCCTGAGTCAGGCTCTGTGCTCACTGGGGAGTCTGCATGAGATTCCCTCTCCTTCTGCTCCCTCCCCGCCACTTGCATGAACTCTCTCTCAACAAATAAAATCTTTTTTAAAAAGATACTTTGCATGCATGGGGCGCCTGGGTAGCTCAGTGGGTTAAAGCCTCTGCCTTCGGCTCAGGTCATGATCCCAGGGTCCTGGGATCGAGCCCCGCATCGGGCTCTCTGCTCGGCAGGGAGCCTGCTTCCTCCTCTCTCTCTGCCTACCTCTCTGCCTACTTATGGTCTCTGCCTGTCAAATAAATAAATAAAATCTTTTAAAAAAAAGATACTTTGCATGATTTCAATCTTTTAAAATTCACTGAGACTTGTTTTATGGCCTGAAAAGTGCTCACAAAGTACTTGAGAATATGAACTCTGCTCTGTAGGTGTCTGTTAGACCTAATTGATTTACAGTGTTGTTCAAGTGCTCCATTCCCTTACTGATCCTCTAACTCGTCATTCTATCCACTATCGTTCTGAGCCTAATGCTTAACCAGAGGTGAAATCTTATGGTCCTCTCAGGTCTTTTCTGACTCTGAGCCCTGCCCCGAGCATGCACATGGTTTTCTAGATACCCAGGTGCACATGGGAACATGTCAAAGGCCTTATTCTCCAAAGTAACTCATTCCCTAGTGTTCCCTTCCCGGAGGTGCCCAAACAGAAGCAGTCCTTCTGGGAGCCCCCAGACAGGTTCAAACAGACAAACACAATTCCTTGGGACTAAGGTCCAATCTCCTCCCTCCAGAACCAGGAACCCACACTTAGAATGCAAGCTGCCATCCTCAAGACCAGGGAGGGGGTTGGACAAGAATACGTTCAAATCCCCCAATACTCTCTTATCATGTCTCGATGGCTTTTTTCCTGATTCAGCATTTGCTTGGTTGCTGTAAATCTTTGACTATCTTCCAGAGTCCTTCATTCCCACAGATTTTTCAGTGTGTCTGGACAGGGGCTGACCCCCCAGAGTATACTCCTCTGGCATTTTCCCCAACATCACTGGGTTCTGTGAGTGATGTTTTGAGGCTTAAATCCTAGTGTTAACATCTTCATTTAACAATGTGCACTGTTTCTGAAAGGAATAACACATCACAAAAAAGATAAAACTAGAAATTTCTTGGGGAAACTGGGTGGCTCAGTTGGTTAAGTGCCTGCCTTCGGTGCAGGTCATGATCCCAGAGTCCTGGGATCGAGCCCTGCCTCAGACTTCCTGCTCAGGAGGGAGCCTGCGTCTCCCTCCGCCCCTCCCCCAACTCGTGTGCTCTCTCTCTCTCTCTCTCTCTCTCAAATAAATAAATAAAATCTTTTTAAAAAGCTAAAAAATTCTCTAGTATTACCAAACTTGTGAAAATCCATAAAATGATTTATTTTATATACGCAAACTCAAAATATCTTTGTACACTTAAATTTTTGCAAATTAATACAGACATCACAATACTGTTCCATATAAACCTTTGTATAAACATTAAAGGAACTATATACATGATTTTTTTTTTTCTTTTAGTGCTTCCAAAGCACAGAATGTCCAAGTCCACCTGAAGACTTTCTGGCGTCACATGCAAGAACAAATGTCAGGGTTGGGGTAGCCTCAGGTGCACTTGGTGATGTCTCTAGACAAAATAGAAGAGAGTTGGAGGTAGATCGTTTGTGACTCTCCGTGCCCCCTCCCACAGAGAATAGCAGCTTTCTTACTCTTTGATTCAAACTGTCCTGAATACTGCATGGTTTAAAAGGCACAACTAGGAATTGTTGAGAACTTTGTTCGGCACGCACAAGATGACCAGTTGGCTTCTGAACACCTATTCTTTTCTGGAGGACGTAGTAAGGGCACCGAGCAGTGCTCCACTTACAGGGGGCCCTTAGTCACTCTGGAAATGCCCAGAACAACAAAGCTCCGAGGAGGAAACCCTTATCACATCTAGTAGGGGTGACAGTGTTTACTGAAATGAACCTGCAGAATTAACAACATCACCTTCCTCAACTGGGAAAAGAAACAACAAAACAACAAACTAATACTTTCAAGGAAAACTCTTAGGGCAAGAGCCACCTTTTACTTCCAGAGACTCATAAAATTAAAAATAATAATAATAATAATAATAATAATAATAATAAAAGCTCCATGGCTTTTTCTTAGCTTCAGGAAGGCAATTCCCATGGCCAAAACATTCTAGGAAGCTTTAACAATATCCTGTTCCATCCTACAGCACGGAGAACTTGCCCTTTTTTCTCCTTGGTCTTTGTATTAACACGATGATCGGCTGTTGATGTGATTAACATTGTTGAGGTGGTGGTGGGAGTCTATTTTTTCTAGGACCTTCTCCAGGTACTGGATTAAGACTCGTCTTTTAAACCTAAAAATAAAGAGAAATTTTATTAACCAAAAGATACTAAAAGCACTTCCGACATATGAGTGACAAAGTGGAAGGTGGGGGACAAAGTGGGGCTGGTGATCTCCATGAGGATCGAAAATGCATCCTCATGTAAAGATGGGGCTTAGCAAATACGAACAGTGCCAACTGAGGGAGGGCCCAAGTCTGCCTCAGACTGTGGTGAGCCCAGAAGATTCCATAGAGTTGGATGAACGAGTTAGACTCAGATACTATCGATCTAAATGCCTCTGGAGACAGCATTAACTATGAGTGAGGGCCAGGGCTGGAGAAAAGCCAGGCAGGGCTTATTCCTCCCCCTGTCCTGCACTGGGCCCTACTATTTCAAAAAAAAAAAATTAAAAAATGAAGGTCTCCTCTTTACACCCACCTTGCGGCTTCCTTGATGGTAAATTCAACAAATTGTTTCTTGACTGCAAGAGGCCCTTGCACTTCTTCAAGCAAAATGAAAATCCTTTCGTACTCTGAAGATATATATATTTAAAAAAAGGCACTTCAGTATTAAAAAAAAAACATGAACGGGAAATAAAATTCAATCTTTATACATCCTCGGGATGGAAAGTTAGATATAATTTGTATTTTAAATAGTCAAATCAAAACATCCGCCCCTTAGCTCCTAAGGAAACTCATAAACACTGCACAGATGTGGCAGGCTGAGTCACGGCCCCAACGTTGTCTGCACCTCAATTCCCAGAACCTGCAAATACGTTATCCTATATGGCAGAAGGGACCTGACTTAACACATGGGATTAAGTTACGGATCTTGAGATGGGGAGGCTCTTTGTGTTTATACGTCAGCGTAGTCACAAACATCCAAATAAGAGGGAGGCCTTAGAATTGGCATCAGAGAGGAAAGATGTAAGGAGGGGAGAAGAGGCTAGGCAGGAGAGAAGGTGCTAACGAGACAGGCTCAAAGACAGAGGAAGGGGCCAGGAGCTAAGGAGGGCCGGCAGCCCGTGGAAGCTGGAAAGAGCAAGGAGACAGATTCTCTCTAGAATCTCCAGAAGGAGCTCTGGCCAGCCAGCACCTTCCTTCCAGCTCAGCGAAAACCATTTCAGGATTCCGACTTCCACGACTCTAAGAGAAAGGTGTACTGGGTCCCTTTAGTTAAAGCAAGAGGAATCGCTTTAAATGATGTGAAAACCCAATACTCCCCAAAAATGTACCTCAAGAGAGAGCATGAATCATACCCCGAGTCACAGAATGAGGACCTTCCATTATATTATTGACGCATGTTCTTTCACTACTTACTTCGTCCAAATTTCCGAACTTCCTTCATTAACTGATGTTTTATATCAGCATTGATTCCTTGCGCCATGGCAGGAGTTATCTGCAAAGCGTTTGCTACAGTTCCCAAAGCAGATGTTCCTGAGACTTTCCGATCCTCTACAGAGACACTGCCGCTTTTGCTTCCCCCTAGGATTGCGTTAGTCCCAGGTTTGTGAATCAGGCCATCCTTCCTCAGACTAGCAAAGTCATCAGACAGAGAATCCAACTGGTTGTGTGGAATACCATCTCTTGCCATATTCATAAGCTCTGGCGGAGCAGGTTTTGACAGGAAGCCATCAGGTGCGAGCTGACCATTTTCCATCTTCTCCTCGTGGACCTCAGGAATGACCATAACGTCTGGAAACCAAGTGAAGAAGTTAAGCTGTGAGGTAGGTGTGTTCCAGCCACCCCACAGGTAGATCCTGGTGCTCCTCAGTTGTGAGGAAATTCTTTGTTTCAGAGAGCAAGAAGACATACAGATGGAGTCTGAGAGCCCTTCAACTGAGCTCAAGAAGATAATACCACAAAACCATCTGCTTCTCTTCCTGGCACTCCGAATACACATGGAAACCAAGTCAGACAGTACAACTAATAAACATTCTCTGATCCCTGGCAGCCACGGCCTAACGGCTGCCTGTGTTTTACAAGCTGAAAAGCAGCAAGTCTCACTTGATGTCACGATTCCTGTCACTGACATATGGGTTAAAGCCTCTTCCTTCAGCTCAGGTCATGATCCCAGGGTCCTGGGATCGAGCCCCGCATTGGGCTCTCTGCTCGGCAGGGAGCCTGCTTCCTCCTCTCTCTCTGCCTGCCTCTCTGCCTACTTGTGATCTCTCTGCCAAATAAATAAATAAAATCTTTAAAAAAAAAAAACACCATGCCTCACTGAGTTTGGCGCCACACTACGTGGGCCCCCTGCAAACTCTCTTCTCTACCTCGAAAGTTCTGAGGAAAACAGAGGTGGCCATTAGGTCTCAAGGCTCTATATGGACTCCATCACCAAAAATCTTTGTCTGTATATGATTCTCATCATTCCCTTCTGTGACAAAGAAGTGGGTTTCCTTTTCCTCCCAAGTCTGATCCCTGTACTTCATATGCTCAGCTTCCCCAGGCCAGGCACCAAGCCAAAGCCTGGGGATCAGCAGGGAATGAGACAGACGGAAACAATCCATACCCTTATGGAACTTACATTCTCATGGGGAAGGCAGACAGTAAGTGCACAATGGGCAAAGGGAATAACACAGTTTGACTTTGTGTTGGGAAGGAAGGAAGCAGGGATGTGAGTGACAGCAGGACGGGAAACCTCCACGATCCGAGGTCAGGCAGGGCGCTGTGAGGAGGGGACCCCTGTGCAGAGCCAGAAGCAGAGACAGAGCCGGCCCATGCACACACAGAGGCGGCGGTCTGGTTGCCGTGAGGGCCGTGCACAGCCCCCATGAGGGGACAAGCCGGGGCCATGGAGCAAAAGTCAGAGGCAGAGAGAGCAAGGAGGACGTGGAAAGGACACGTGATGGCAGGAGAGGCTGGCAGGGCCAGGTCACGCACGGCATGGAGACCAGTGTCAGGATCTCAGACTCTGTTCTGAGTGCAAGGGGAGTTGACGATGGGTTTCCCAATGGATGTGGCACGATCTGGTTTCTGTGCGGACAGTGTCACTCCGGCCACAGGGCAGGGTATGGGTTAGACAGGGCCGAGAATGGGAAGCAGGGAAATTAGATGAGAAGCTGCTGTAGTAGTTTGGGGACAGATGGTGGCAGCATACACTAGAGGGATGGAGACAAAGGGGGCAAGACAGGGATTCCATCGGGTGTCAGGTTGCCTGGATTTGCTAAGAGATGGAAGTGAGAGAAGAACTGAGAGGAATCATGGTGACTCCAACGGTTTTCACCTGAACCCCTGGGGAAATAATAGTGCCAGGGCTGGGCAAGGGCTGGTGCCCACCTGCTCGTTGAGAGGGGATTGCACCCGGCTCTTCCTGACCTGGCTCAGTGACCTCACGCCCACGGCCTGACCTCAAGAATGCTGGCATTATTTACACTGTGGAAACCTGCAGACACTGTAACCCAGGGTTTCGCTCTCCCAACCCCCACACCCTCCAACGGCCGGCTGTCACACACAGCTTTAGCAACACACACTGCCAAATGGTGTCACTTAAGATTAAGCGTCATGCCCTGGGGACGGCTGTAGGGAGAGCTGTTACGGAGACAACAGAGGTGAGGCTTTCCCAAGAACCACGTGAAGCCCACTGAGTTTTGTCTGCCTATCGGACATCTCGGTGGAGATACTATGTCCATCGACAAATTCAAGTCTGGTTTTTGGAGCAAGCTGTAGTCAAGAGAGGTAAATACGTGAGTTGTTGACACGTGTATCTCTTGGAGAGCCCAAGACTGTATGGGATCACCTAGGGAGGGGAGAGGGGCCAGGATGGAGCCTCGGGTCCCTACACTATTTACAGGTGGGAGAGAAGGGCAGGAACCACAAAAAGAGGATCAAGAGGGGCTGCCATAAAAGGGCAAAGAAAACTAGGGGTCGTAGTGTCTGGGAACTGGAGAAAGTTTCCATGGGGGAGGGAGCGAAAAACCACGTCAAATGACACGAAGGAGCAATGGCCACGGGTGGCAGACATGGTAGACCCTGATGATGCCCTTGGCAGTGGAAAGGAAAGGCGGAGCCGGACTGCACTGGGTGAGAGCAGGATGGGGACATGAGGCCACAGAGGCAGCCCAGACCCAGCCGAGGTCTTCTTGAGCCTGTTCGCTCCTGCGGCTTCAGGAACCTGCTGCCTCTTTCTGATTCACGCAGCAGACATGCTCCCACCACCACAAGCAGGGCCTCCGCTCCCCCATGGGGCACCTTTGGTTTAATAACAGTTTACTTAATGACCAAAAAGCACATACGAAAGACATGAGTACAAAGGAAATGGAAAGTTGCTTAGTGTCTTAGTCCTCTAGGAGCCATAAGGAAAGCACAACCACTACTCTATACCTGTATGGACAAGGGTGGGTTTTAGGAGGTTTGGATAAGATGGTAACCACGAGGCTGAGGGTGGTCCCTTGCCACCCACGTGGTTAGTTACAGTAGGTGGTGTTTGTGGTCTCGCCAACAGCAGGGACATACTCCGCCTTCTCTTAGATGACAGAGGACTGCTGGCTTCTCCCGGACGCTTCACTTTGTTTTGTGGCCCTGCTACGAACTCATCTGCTTCATCAATCATCATTCCCTAGAAGACATCAACGAACGCGTTCCATTAAAGACCACATGTCCCACCCCCAACACAGGCCTTGCCACTCCGCTCCAGCAGAACGGGGCGCCAAGGTCAGACACGGTACAGTCAAAATCACCCAGAAAGCTTGAGGAACGAGTGACTCGCATCAGCCGAAATGGGAATATAAACCCACAGTGACCTTTCTGCGGAAGGACAAACCATTCAGAACCAACCCTGGATAAAGGAAACAATTCCCTTTGTGTGCTTTTGCGCTTTAAACGCACCATTAGGAAATACTGATTATCCCTGTACGGAATGCTGCATGGAGATGGTGGGCGGCAGGCAGATGGAAAATGTCATTCCCCTGACATGCTGACATGACAGCAACCTCACAGAGATTCAAGTATGTCCACCGTGGGGGCTTTTCACTCTTGGGGGGTACAGGATGAGAGCAGACATGTAAAAGGGTAGCTAAAAGCTGTTCTCATCCAAGGATAACCCAAGAATATGAAAGTATTTTCATAAAATCATGAATGATATTTCCAAGGCACTTTCCAAAGCAAGACTACATGCCAGGTCGTGTTCGAAAACGGTATTACACGCACTCACTCAACATTCCACAGGGCTCTGTTAGTTAAGCGTAACAAGCAGCCCCAGCGCTACAGAGGAAGAGACCAAGGCACAAAAAGATTAAGAAAAACTCCAATTAATTGAGGATGGGGTGAAGTGGAATGCCTTCCAGTCTTGTTTTGTTACAAGAGAGATTACTGTATGGTCTGTACCTTAATACCAATTGTCTTCTCCATGTGTGCAGATATAATCCCCATGAGTCCTCATCCTGAAATGGTCAAGTCAGCATCTCTCCCTCCCTCTCCCACCCCCACCACACCCCACATTTAGATCTCTAGTAGGACAATCCAAATAAAGCAACATCACCTAGTACTTCCTATTTCAAAAGGAACAGTTAGTTCATCACGGTGTAGATAGAGCATTAGTTATCTGAGTCACGGAAACAGGAAATAAATGGCGATCTCAATATTAAAGGAATTGGTGTGTAGAGGTGGGAATGCATATAGGCTCAAAGCTGGAAAGATGTGAGTTCAAATCCTGGCTTTTATCAGCCGTGTTAGTTGACTACTGCGAGTCTTGATTTCTTCTTATTAAAGGGCAGATGGGAACGCTCATCTACACTGCGAGCACAAGATGCGATCATTTGAAACACCAGCTCCTACTTGGTACCCAATTAAGGCCTATTATTTTCTTCAAGCAACACACCTTCACATCCATTCACCAAGAGCCCTAGAGTCCTATTTTATTTTTTAAACAGAGGGATAAGCTCTGATTTATATTCATCTTGCCCAAAAGAAAGGAAATGTAGCAAGGATATCACGAGGTACACAGACCCAGAAATCGGCATCTTACCTTCTTATCTTGTTTGAATGGGTTGCCGAAAGTATGCAGTCTTTTTGGTTGATCAGGATCAATCTCTCGAAGGGGGGAAGCCAATGTCTTTAGATACTCCTGATAGTTACCCATTTGTGCCACTGGAACGCTATGAAGGGAATCTGTAACATCACAGGAAGAGACAGAGATGCTCTACAGTGCCAATGCCCCGTTTTGAGAGGACACGATCCTAGCTGGCTTTAACAATGTGGACCTTGGCATCCAAAGCCTAAAATCTCAAATCCAAAGATCCAAAATCATCTCTCTTCGTCCCACTCAATACTCGGGGTACCATCACTACTGCCTACAAGCTCAAATCACTAGGCTGACCACAACTCCCTTCCGCATCCAACTGGGTTTGAAAATGGGCTGACATTTAGTATGCCACCACCCAACCTGGGGTGCCATGTTTGTTCTGCATTTCAAAGAGCCTAGGCTCCATGGTTCTCTCTCATCATCCAGAGAACCTTGGATAGTAGGCCTTATGTTCTTGGGAGAATGTGATTAAATCTACAGGCTCTCTTCCTAGTGAAGCTTTCTCCTCGCCACAAAACTTGGTGTATGATTGCAAGAGATGGGCTGACTAAGATTTGCTCATTTTAATGGACAAATGACCCCTTTTAAAATGAACAAAAGGGAGTAAAGGGGAATTGTACACCGTCACCAATTATCCTAGACACTCTCCGGTTCATTCTTTTCATCTAAATGAGGAATTCTGGATCGAATTCATCAGGACAGGCCAGGTTGTGCAATTTCCAAAATGTGACAGACCTAGCTCCTGCCACTTTCCAACTCACGAAACCCAGACTTAGCTATTAAAATGCTCGCGAGAGGGAGAGAGAGCGAAAGCCAATGCAAGTGATGAATCACTAAATTGTACACCTGAAACTAATATTACACTGTATGTTAACTAGACTGGAATTAAAACAAAAACTTCAAAAAAAAAAAAAGATGCTCACTCTCAGTTTCCATGTCCATAAAATGGGCATAAAAGCAGTATCTCTCTCATGGGACTGTTTTGACGCTTCGAGAGCTGAAGCCTGCAGGCCGATTAACGCACAGCTCCCCTAAAACCTGAGGACAAGCAACTTGTGCCTGGGAAGTTTAGGGATTTAGCAAAAATGGGCATTCTAAGCTTTTAAAGATTACCGATTATGCAGTAAGTACCTTCATGTAAGTCAGGCTTGACATTTTCCTAATCAACAAAAAATACTGCTTTGTTCATTTACCTTCATCTTGTCCCACAATAAACTTGTGTGTCTTCAGGAGATTGGATCTCATTCTCGTTAACTGGTCTAAAAGACCTCTACGTGGAATATCATAAGCATTTCTATATGTCTGAGGTTTCAAATCCTATTCGAAAGGGAACAAATAATTTCAGTCACTCCTGAGGCTTTTGGTGTAGAAGTGTCATTCTTAACTCTCTTAAAATCTTGGTGAAGAGAGAGATAGTCATTGTAATTAACTTATGGTAGAACTAGGCTGGTGGCCAATTAGCCTTTGATGGCCTTGTTCTGAATTCCAATACACCCACACAGTATTCAAAGCACTGGGAATATCCTTTTCCAAGTATGTCAGCTGGCCTGGCCAGTTCTGCCCAACATGGACCTCGTCTATGGGAAATCGTGGGGCCAGGGGTCTGGGCAGGGCTGGCCCAGACTCTCACAGGTGCTCTGCTGCCTGAGTCTCTTCATACCCGATCCTCTTCCTTGTCCTCTCCTCTCACAGGGGCTAGATCCGCAGTCCAGCCTGAAGGCTCTCCCTGCCCACTTCTGTCCTCTCTTCCCTTTTTCCTTGACAGACATTACCCACCCCACCCCCTCTGGAATGCATCTTGCGCATTTCATGCCATATGGGCATCTGCTGGCAGGACAATTCCTAGACTGGTCCGTATGGATAACCATGAAGTCCAAAACAGGATCGTAATCATTTCAAAATGAAAATAATATGACATAAACGTATCAGACAAGTTCAAACAAACACAAATGATTTATGTCACGGTTTACCTTGTTTAAGAGCCCTAACTGGAAGCCAGCAAATTCTTTGGTATTCAATTCTGTCAGTCTTGGTGCACTTTCCCCTATGATTTCTTTTAATAGTTTTCTAAAATTTTTACTGTGCGTCAAGGACACGCCAACTCCAGAATGGTTTTTCACTCTGATTCCAATTTCCTGGGGAGGTTTCTTCCCCACGGATGCTAGTATTCGTTCTGACTCTAGTTTGGTCTAAAATGAAAGTACATAATATGTTAAGAAAAGATCTACATTATCACAGTTGTTTTCACTACTTAAGAAAAGTAATACTTTAAGAACCCCACAGAACAACTTTTCAATCATAAATCACAGAAAAACTGATAATTAAACATTTCCCTGTGCTTCTCTGTGCTAGCACAGCAAACAGGGAGGGGGCCTAGAAAGGTAAATAACTTACTACATTTTTTTCTCTTGTCTAGTGTCAAAATTTGATTGAATCATGGAGAGAATGGAAACTGTGGCTAAGACTTCTGTTCATAGACATTTAAAATCACATTTTGTTGTTATAGAATCTAGTCTAAGTCAACATATTTATTTCAGATCCAGACATAAAGGTTTAAGACTCTGTATTTATAAATGTAAACTAGTGCTAAAATTCGGATTCCATAGATTGGCATTACATCTGGAAAAATTAAACTGTTTGTTTCTAATATCGGACTGCCCCCAAAAAAGTAACGCTTAATTTAACAAACATTACCACATAAATAATATGTAATGTATATACTCAGTAATCTTCCAGCTAACTGGCAAAAAACACCCCTCTTACTAGACACTGTTAAACCACATTGATAAATATTGCTTGACAGTGTATTATAGCAATATATTGGGCATATTTTGGGATTTACATACATCTGAGATGGTTCAAGGAACACTGGCAACATAGTTATTAAATTAGTAATTAAATTAGTAATTGGAGTGATTATAAATTAGTAATAATCTTTTTCTTTCTCTCTAAAAGAAGGACTCCTGCCAATGCCCAGTAAGCCCAAAATAATTTTGAGTTTCTTATGATTAGGTCAGAGATACCCACTAATTTTCACTATGCTTGGAATTAAGTACATGTATTATCTTTTGCAAAAAATTAAGTTATGAAATAAGGGAGAAGAGCAAATGAAGGGTCTGTTTCCAGAAATGGTCCCAAAATCCCATTCGGAAAACTACACAAGCAACATGTCCCAGAAGGTCCCAGAACTTGCATGAGTTTCAACTCTGCTCACTATTCTTCCTTGTGGCCATACCCTGCTGACACAGCCTTAAAGGCCTAAAGTAGACATCAAATAAAAAATATATATAAATCAACAGGTCAATCAATCAATAACCAAAACAAAACATTAACAACAACAACAAAAATCTATTAGCAGAGAGGAAAGGGGGTCGTGGGGACACTCGGTAGACCGGAAATCTAGGTTTGCCTTTACTGTCTCTTGCATTTATGAGCACGCTGGCCGGTCAGGAGCTGGTAAGCCTCAGGCCGTCCTTCTGTCTGGGCCAGGTCCTCGCCAGGAGTGTCAGTGTCCCCAACTGTGGAGTCATTTTGGTTCTTTAGTGAAATCTGACACTCTTTTGCTTACTACTGTCTCCTACAGGCCCAGCTTCCAAACATGTCTGACTTAAAGCCTGACAGCCACTACAAATGCTAGTACTGGTCCCTACCTGGGAAAACCCTTGTGCAGAAGAAGAAAGTAAAAAGGCAAAAAGGCTGCATCATCTTGTCATATAACGTAACACATTTGTATGGCAGTAAAGCTCTAACTCAGTAGTTCTCAAATATTTCCATCCTGCAAGAATGGGCTAGGTAGAGGTGAGAAGTATGATAAGTAGGGGTGAGTGGAGAATGAGGTACTAATAGAGGTGAATAATGGTAAATGAGGGTGGGGGGGATAAAGGAACAGATGGAGGGCAAGAAGAGGGGAGGCTGAACTCCACTCTTCAGGTCCCTTTGGGGCCTGTCACCCTCCAGCACGAGGAACACTGGTCTCATCTCCCCGTCTCCAAGAAAAGGCATCTGCATATCTATTGCCTAAACGCGAATGTCACGAATGTCACGCAAGACGCTGAATCACACCATGCCTCCAAGGGCTGACCTAGAAAAGGGGGTGGGGTACTCTAGCCCAACGTGACTTGAGGAGAAACTAGGTTTAGGACAGACAAAGTGTGACCCATGAGATAATTTGACTAAGCCTCTGCCCCTCTCAGGCCACAAGGTTATCAACCAGCTTGTGGGCAGCACAAACCGGCGAGCGAAAGGAGAAATGGCACAGTATCCAACGACACTGACATACCCTTAACTGTAGTTTAATGGTGAAGCTAGAAGCCATAGAGAATCACATTACTACTAATCCATAAAGTGGAGAAATAGATACACATTTAATCTGAAAAAAGTACAATTACACTAAAGAATAAGGAAATGCACTTCTGAGGGCAAAGGATTTTTGTTTGTTTATTTTTACCAATACTACCTGTTGGCTGAGTTTTTTAAGGTAAGAGATAACACTGTAACTAAGTCCACAATCTAAATTATCTGATATCAGATTTGGAGCTCCCATCATCCTTAGTGCTTTCTTTAATGGCTATAAGGAAACAAAATACACAACAGTAAGAATAGAATAAATCTTAAAATACTCAAAGTTCAGTTATAAGGGGCAAAGGGACACGATTCATTTCTTAGAAGTCAAGGTGCTGCACATAAAACCAAACATGGAACATTAAAAAGTGGCAATGAATACAGCAGAGGAGTAAGAAGCAGAAAGTAACAAAATCAGAAGACAGTGGGATAAGAAGAGCAAGAAACAGCAAATTCAAACAGGTAAATTGCTTTCAGGCTTAAGTCCCGAGTCATAAAATCATTTCATATTGCATTTTATCGTGCACCCCGTTCCTGCCATGGTAAATACTGATGCACCCCAATTTCTCCTCCCAGTGATACCAATGGTACCCTTTAAGATTCTGCCTTTTCACCTCTAGAAACTTGGCTGAAAGTTTGCCATATCCGCCTCTGAAATGATTTTGATCGTCTTGATTTCGATTATACAACCAGTTCAAAATCATCATGACTGTTTTTTCCCAAATTGTAGAAACCCAAATGAGGCCAAGTAGCTTTTTGTTCTTTTTGGATTCCCCTCCCCCAACCAGCACCCCTGCCTCGTGCTGTGTCTTGGACACGTTTAACAGGCAGAATGTCCATATCCAGCCTTCCGAGTTGTTTTTCAGAGGGAAACCACATATTGAAAATTTCTAGAGTTAAAAAGGGAAGTTGATATCATACATGAATCCAGACCTATTTTTCTTAAATCCCCAAATTCCACTTTCATAAGGTTACTTTTCATAAGAGAAACACAGATAGACGTGTTGTTATAAAAAAACAAAAACAAAAACAAAAACAAAACAAAACCATGGCAGTTAAAGGCAATAAAATAAAGAAACAATTCTCTTACACATAACTTGAGAAGACAGTGGCGATACAAATATTTAGCAATAAAAATATTGAGCTTATTTCAAGGGTCCAGTGTTTGGTTCACTGACATTTCTGGTGACAAGAATCATCACTGATACAGCTAATGCATATATATACACATAAATACATACTAATAAGTAGTACGGAGGCAGAGTTTTTAAGTAGCTGTCAAAAGCCTGTCGCCACTTCAGATTTGCCTTAAGCTTGTGAACTTTAAACAAGTCATCTGTAAGAGAAAAACCAAAGTATTACGTGATTCCAGTCCTAAATTCCAAGATTGAAACCAAGCAACCCGCATCCATTATATCGTTTTCTAGACATCTCAAGTTTTAATTACATTAGCTGAACATTCATTGATCTGATTGTCTTTTTTGGTACTATTTACCAAAATTATATAGAGTATTTTTCTAGAAAAAAAATTCTCAGGTTAGATATTCCTTTGCCATCTGTGAAGCTACGTAAAATATCATATTAAAGCCGACTCCGATCCACGTGAACTTTCTGACCTGTTACATATTGGTAACACGGCTGTACTAATTTCCCGTGAGGGGGACTCCATGGCCACTGGCTGATGGAATATTTCTTTTATTCGAATGGAGGGTGGAAAGGCAACAACAACAAAACCCCGAACTCAGAGAGACAGAGAACAGCTCACTGGTGGCCAGAGGCCAGGCAGGGGCAGGGTAGGCGAAACGGCCAAAAGTTGTCGAATGGTACAAACTTCCTGTTACAAAATAAGTAAGTCCTGGGGGTGTACTGCACAGCATGGTGACTCTAGCTAATGATCCTGTAGTGCCTATTTGTAAAGCTGCTAAGATAGTAGATCTTCAAAGTTCTCATCGCAAGAAATTTGTGGTCGTGTGTAGTGATGGATATTAACTAGTGTTTGCAGTGTTCTTTTCACAGTATGTACAAATTTTGACTCATTACGTCGTGCATGGGAAACTAATGTTATGTGTCAATTATATGTCAATAATTAATACATAAATAAATGGAGGGTGTTGTAAAGAAACTTTACAAAGTATATGAGAACAAAAGCGAAGCCTCTAACTTCCAAAGGGCAAGGACAGCGAGCTCTTAAATTATGCTTTGGATTCGCTTTTATCAGCCTGTCCTATTCCACACCCAAGCCCCACCCTTCATTTCTTCCATCTCAAACCAAACATTGGATCTGTCAAATGTTAGTTAACAATTAGGTCATGGCACTAGTACAAGCTAGTGGAGACGTTAGGTTGAAGTTTGAAATTCTGTACAACTAAGTATGTTTCTTGAATACCGTGCGCATTAATACCCCTAAAGATACTGTCCTTAAATAAGCAGACATCCCTTACCTTTCTCAAACTTAAATTTAATTGTTTTAAGAATCTAAATGCATAAACTACAGAAAAATTTCCAAACCATGTCATTATCTCCTTCCAAGGGTACGAAAAATGTATTTTTATATATTAATTCAAAATTGATATCGTCAGACATCAACAAAAACCTGCCACACTTAATACAAATGCCAAAGATATTTTGAATTCATCTTCTATTTTGTTTCTTCAGGTTTCATTGGCTCTTATCCAAAAAAATCCAAATGCTTTACTTCCAAGGACAAAAGCATCCCTATGCCATATGCATAATTTCTCTACAAATAGGCCTATTCTTTGAAATGCTGAATTACTTCAGTTAAGAAAAGCAACTACACATTTTCTTCCTTTTACTGCTATAATAAATTATTCACCCCTGCCGAAACTAATTTAAATGAATTTACAAAGTCATAAAATGTGGGTCTTTTGTTCTTTTGGCGCAGGGTAGAAAGAACAAAGAAAAACAGATCTGAAGAGATTTCTTGCCCATTGTAACATGCAGGTCCTTTAAAGACCATTCATATCTTGATAGAAAGGAACGCGAGACCGTGGAAATACGCTGTTATACTTGGGTCTTTATGTGGAGTCTGTTGGGAATTAAGCAGATTTTTAGAAACTGACAAATTGAAATACAAGACTGGGGAGACATTTAGATATAAATAGATTAGATAATGAGAGTCAAGAATAGTCTTAGAATTTCAAACAATGCCAATTGCAATGATTCCACCAATTAGTCTAACTGAGTCTAATTATTTCTTGTTGGAGTTTTTGAAACGGGGGAGGAAGAAAGAAAATGTTCCACAGCCTAGATTAAGGGTAGAGAGCTACTGGGGTAAGGGCCACTTGAGTCACATTCTCCATGGGGCAGGAAATGATGTTCATGGCGTTGTATGAGGATGGGACAATGAAGACGTCATAAACCCTCAGCTAGTCAACATTTGAAAGACAAAGAGATCAGAGTGTAGGAGAGTGAAGTGATACTGCCCACACCTCAAAAACTAGTAACATTTTCCCTTCCATTCGTTTCTCCCCGTTTCCTGCTGAAAAAAAAAAAAAGAGGGGGTGGAGGAGGTGGGTTTGAGTTCCAGGCTCAGCCACACACTTAGCAGAGTGAGCTTAGAGAAACCACTAGCCTTGTTGAGCCTCCATTTCTTTTTGTTCTCCTGATAATAGTACTGGTCTTAATATGGAGCTGAATTTTATTTTTTTTAAACAAATCCCAGTTCTTAATTAAAAAAAAATAGGGGCACCTGGGTGGCACAGTCAGTTGAGCATCCGACTTTTGGTTTTGGCTCAGGTGGTGATCTCAGGGTCATGAGACCGAGCCCCACGTAGGGCTCTGTGCTCAGTGCTCAGTGGGGAGTCTGCTGGGATTTCTCTCTCCTTCTCCCTCTGCCCCCCTTCCATACTCTCTCTGTGTCTCTAAAATAAAAAATCAAATAAATAATCTTTTTTTAAAAAAACAGGTGAACTGACTGTGGTAGAGTTAAGAAAAAAAGTTGTTACAAATGTCTTAATTTCTGTAGTTACTGGCCCTCGATAGAAAAAAAAAATTCCTTATTGAGAGATAATCTTGCTAACTATGATACTGACATGATTCTCATGATGGCTCATTGATCCAATTAAGCCTCACTTATCCATTCCAGGTAAGTTTTAGTGCTTAAATAATTAAACCTCTGTTAACTACTTCTGATGGAAATCCTGAATCGATAAAGAAAAAAAAATAAGGGTGACCTTTATGGACAATTATCATACTATGCAGTAATACAGTGATGTTTCTGGGCATTACGAAGTGTACATGCCTTCACTTGCCTTTTTTACTAAATATCCCGCCCACCAAACTGCAAAACTGTCCTACATCTTTATGTAATGTCCTTCATATGGAAGAGCAGTGTCTTTAAGAGCTATTAAAATAACACAGGTATCAATAATGACAACAGTAATGATAATGCTAATAGCATAAATGAACAGTTACTATTGGCAATTTAACTGCATTAATTCATTTAATCCCAACTAAATGCTTTTGGGATATGTACTATCATTATGCCCATTTTACAGATGAAATAAGTAAGGCACAGAGAAGCTATGTATCTTATCCAAGCTCACAAAGCCAGCAAATGGCAAAGCCAGGATCCACATGAGGGCAGCTATGCTCTACAGTCCATAGTCTTTTCTTTTTTAAGATTTATTTGTTTGTTTACTTGAGAGGGGGGAAGGGGCAGAGGGAGAGTGGGAGAGAGAGAATCACAAGCAGACTCCCCGCTGAGTGGGGCACCTGACACAGGGCACGATCCCATGACCCTGAGACCGTGACCTGAGCTGAAATCATGAGTTGGACACTCAACTGACTGAGTCATCCAGGCACCCCTCACAGTCCATACTCTTAACAATATGGGGCTACACAACCCAGAAAGCGAACTAATGGTGGAAATGTCGAGAGCGTCTAGTTCAGAACTCAACACAAAACCCAAGTTTGGGATTTGGGGGCACAAGGACCTCCAGCCTCTAACGGTATGAAAAACCCCATGCTCCCTGGGAAGACAGAGGTTACAGAAAAGCCTGGAAATGGGTATTTAAGGCCAAAGGACAGAATAGGAACTGAGTCGAGGACAGACTGACCCTCAAATGGACGCGTGGCATTGGGGAAGGGGAAGGATTCAAAGATGCATCTGGGGTTCCTGGTTTGAGATGTTTGCAGAGGGACAGTGATGCTCTAGGCAGGGCTGGATCCTTGGTGTCAGAGGTTAAGGAGGACCAGGGACAGATGTGGCACATGTACCTCTTGTGATGGAAGACACTGCAGGGAGAAGGGGAACTTGGCATTTGGGGAAGAGGCAGACTAATGGGTAACAAGCAGCCGGTGCCGGGAGTTGACCTTACCTAGTACTGGGGAGTGCAAGAGTGGGCAACATGTGGCTACTTAGGCACAGCAGATTTAGACAAAGGAAGGACTGGATGCCTCCTCTTCACCTCTATTACCCACAAGACCAGCAAAGCCCATGCTTAGAGAGCAGTTCTCGCTATTGTGAAGAGCTGCACATCTCAATCTCTACTGGGAGACAAGCTACCATGGTTAGGGGCACTTTCACATAATAATTTGGAAGGCAGGCTGAGTTGAGACCAAAGATGAGATCCCGGAATTCAGCCCCTAATAGTTCTATAGAACTTTTCCACTGCCCTGTGGTAATAAAGCCAACCCCGCCCCCGCGGTGTCATTGAAGACCACGTGGGGAGGAGTATTGAGGAACTCCTACTTCTCCCAGCCATGGAGGTTATCATTCCAGTGAGGATTCAGAACCCCCGCCCAGCCCCCAACAGCAGTAACGAGGAGCCCCCCTCCCTAAGAGTGTCAACAGAGGCCAAGTGGGGAATCTGGACTTCTACCCGCTCCTGGCACTAACAAGGCAGTACCTTGTAATCTCTGCCAGGAGGGTGAGAGGTAGCTGAACCAGAAGGCTTAAATAAGATCGAGACTCAGAACCCAATACTGAAAAGACACAGGATTCAATGGAAAATCACTCATCTCACCAAGAACCAGAAAGATCTCAAAACACATTCAAAAGACCATCAAGAGATGCCAACACTGAAATGACAGAGACATTAAAAATATCCAGTAAAGATGTAAAAGGAGCCAGCACAAAAAAATGTTTCAACAAGCAATTTTAAACAGGCATGACACAAATGAGAAAACAGAAAGCCTCATCAAAGAAAGAGAAAGGAAAAAGCTGAAGATGTAAAGAAGAACCCAGTGGAAATCTTAGAACTAAAACATACAAAAACCAAAATAACGAACTCAATGGAGGGGCTCAAAAGCACAATGGAGGGGACAGAGTAAATAATC